GAAGCCCATCTTCACAGGATCACCCGTAAACGAGGAGGCGGTCAAGGCGCACCTGCGCGAGCACCTCCCCCGCTTCGACCCCGCCGACCTGCCCGTCCCCACGGAACGTCAGCTGAGACGCGCTCTAGAGCGGGCTTGCCCGTCGGCACCCGGTCCAGACCAGACGCCCTACGCTGCTTGGGCGGCCACCCCTGATGCTCTCTCTGCTCTGCGCGTTGCCATGCTGCAGATGTTTCGACTGGCCGCGCTTCGTTTGGTTTCAAGTTTTCGGATTGTTGCTCCCTTCCCAATTGGACCGAAAATTCGGATGGCGTTGACTATCTTCGGGCCGCCGGCTGTGTCCGCCCCTTGAGTTTGAAAAATGCGGATTCTAAGATAGTTGCTGCAGCTGTCAATCGAGCTTTAACACCCTTGGTCAATGAACGCACAGATCCCGTGCAGCAGGAATTCGTCCCTGGACGCCAGTTTACGACCAACATTGTCGCATTCCACCTTGTATCCCGGGGAGCTTCGCACTTCCCGGAGCGCTGGCTTATCTATACATTTTTCGACGTTTTGGCCGCAGTTCACAGCCTCTCCCAGTTATTCCTCTTCCTTTCTCTCCTTGCTCATGGTCTCCCCGAGGGCTTCATGAATGTGATATGTGCTTTATACAAGCTCCCGCTAGGATTCGCGAGGCTTGGTCCCACTAGGATTCGCAAGGTTTGGGCCCACCAGGGAGCCCTTTTGCCTCATCAGCTCTGGAGTCCTATAGGGATGCCCGCTGAGTGGATCTCTGTGGCCACTCGCGTTCAACGCCACGCTTCGTCACCTCCGCGCGTTGCTTCCAATTGACCCCTTGCAGCGACATGTGCTGACGACATTGGAGTGCTGGTTGCGGAGGCGCACTTGCTCGGCCGTATTCTTGCGCCCTTCAGGGCAATGCATTCGCTTGCCAATGTTGCGCTCCAGGTGAAAAATGCAAGCTTGTACCACTGTGGGGGCCGTGTTCACCCCAGGTCGAGGTCGAGGCTCGCGATCTTCTCGAATCCCTTGCACTTGTATGGTGCGCGTTTGCCAGTGGCGGAGCCTGCAATTACCTAGGTGTTTACTTTGGGCCTGCTGCCACCCTCGCCATGCAGTGGCGGGCTGCTGCCCAGAAGTGGTGGACGCGTGTTCAGTTCCAGGCTGCCGCTGGCGCTGCGATGGCCATCCATGTATTCACGTCACATCGACGATGCCTGTGCTGTTATATCTCGCTCAGTATGTTGCAGTCGATCGCAAAATACTGCAATACGAGATCCTTGCGTTGCACAAGGTGTGCCGACTACCCCCAGATTCCTTGAAGCTGGCCGATTTCCATTCCCTCCGCTCCTGGGGGAAAGCGGGGCTCCCCTCCATCGTCACCTACAGCGCCGCCGCGGCTTGGTGGTTCTGCTCTTTCACGATTGACGGAACGTGGCGTCCTCGGCTACATTCGTTCACGGAAACCGCCCACGTGCACGGCTCCCTAACCCGTTGGATCCGTGGATTTTTGAGTCCGCCATTCCAGCAGCAGCAACATCGCATCGGTGAGATGTATTCTTCAGTGGCTAGCGGCTGCCCCATCCGGATTTCTCGTCGACAGATCTCGAGAGCTTGCTTGCGCGCCGCCCAAAGGGCCAGCCGCGAGGAGGTCGCCCAAGCTATTCGCGACGGTCGGCGCCCTAGGCTTCAGCGGGCTGTAGTTCGCTCCCTACTCATGTCAATGTTCCCCGACACTTTTGCTTCCACGATCGCCAAGCGTTTAAAGGCGCTGGATCCCTCATCCGAGGTGCCTGCCGAACTAGAGGTCCGCTGGCAGGCAATGCGGCGGAGCTCGCACAGCTATCCCCGGCCCATCAGTGGTGCGTGGTGACGACGCTCTGCGCGGGCTGGATCACGTCCCACAGAACGCACGTCCTGAAGCTTCAGCTTTGCCACTTCGGTTGCTCGGCGCGGGACTCGACGTGCCATTATTGGCAATGCCCTCGCCTCACGTCTTTTACCGCTATATCCCCCGCGCCTTCCCGTGCCCTCGCTTACTTGTCATGTGGGGGCTGGGCTCCGAAGAGGATCACGCCTCCCCTGACGATGCTCGTCCGGCTGTCATCCGTAGGATGATCATCGCATTCGATTTTTTTCACATTGTGAAGGTCGAGCTGGACTCTCTGCTGGAGCGTCGCAGAGACCGCACCCGCTGCTTCGACGAGTTCGCGCACAGATCCCTGCTGGCGGCACATCAGAGCGCCGAGCTATGAAATGCGGACGCGCTGGTGCTCGGAGGGCGGAACTTGTGGGTGGGCGGGTGGGGACCTGGACTAACGGAGCCAACAACTGGAGCGAGTTTCAACCGATCGCCGCCCGCGCGGCCGAGACCTTATCTGTCCACGGTGTCTGCGTTTTTGTTTTTTTCTGTTGATGTGCAGGAGTGCTCGGTGGAGATTTCAGAATCAAGTTGGGGCGGCTATGAGGGGGAGCTGTGGTTCTGGAGATTGGGACTGACGCCGAGCCCGGTTTTCTGAAGGCAGTGCCGACAGTAGGTGAGGAAAAAGCCGCGTTTCGAATGCAAGTTCTGTATTTCTCTTCATCAGGCACGCGCCGTGACGGTCTGGACGGCCAGCGTCTAGAATCAAGTGAGGCGGTTTTGATCATGCTTGGGTGGGGGGGTGATGGTGGCGTTGACCCTGTAGGGCAATCCACAGGTTCCGCCGCAACCGATACTCTTGCTTGGTGTGGTTAGGCTGTGAAGGCAAGCGCTTAAGCGGGCAGGAATCGGTGTTGCCCAGTGCGTCTGGAATGCAGCATCAAAAAAATGCTTGTGTGGGGGGCTGGTTGGGCGGGGCGTTCAGAACATGTCGAGGCACATCCGTGCTCCCGCCTTTGGCCGTTGAGCGCCAGCACGCCGCTCCTTCATATTCGGTCGGGCCTCCTTCCCCGCGATCCGCTGCTCGATCGCGGCGAGGCCCGCCTCCTGTAAAGTCAGTGCGCCGGCCACTCTTCGGGTGGATCGGCGCGCCTCAGGCTACGTCTACTCCTCCTCCTCCTCCTCCTCCTCCTTCTCCTCCTCCTCCTCCTCCTCCTCCTCCTCCTCCTCCTCCTCCTCCTTGCGGTTATGACCTCCTGGGCGGCCTCCAGGGACCTCGGGATCACCCGTCCTTTCCTCGAGCCTATTCGGGCTCTCCTTCGGCGAAAGGCTAACCGATCGCCGCAGAGGCGATCGGCTATCCTGGCCTACATAGGCCGAGATTTCTGGACCCAGGAAAAGGTCTGGCGCGCGGGCTTCGGGGACGACAGGTCCTGCCAAGCCTGTGGCGCAGAAGTCGGATGTCAGCACCATCGTTTCTGTTGCTGCCCAGACCGAGGAGCGGCGAGAGCCACCGTCGCAGAGGCTGAGGGCCTCCAAGGGATCGTGCATCGTGCTGAATCCTCCTCCTCGGATTCCTTCCTCTTCTCCCGTGGGCTTCACGAGCACCCCCTGGAGGACCCGCAGTCTGATTGGATTACTGCCCTGGAGGATGAAAACCCCAGTTTTGTGAATCCCCCGCTGGTCTCAGGGTGGGCCTACTCTGACGGATCGGCCAGAGGCCCACCAGGGCTCAAGAGCTTTGGTTGGGGCTTCGTTTTCCTGGACCAGGACGGGGGGGCTGTCAAGGCCATGCGGGGTACCCTCCCAGGGCTGCGTATCCTCGCCTCCGTCCTCCGTGCTGAATTGCATGGATTGCTCAAGTTGCTGTATAGCGCCCACCCTCCGCTGAGGGTAGGGATCGACAACAGTTCCGTCATTCGAGGCCTCCGTAGAGGACCCCGTTGGTGCTGCAGCCCTCGGAGGCCTCACGCCGACCTCTGGGGCAGGATTTGGGCCCAGCTCCAGGATAGTTTCAGCAAAGAAGGCGACTTCCAGGCCGTCAAGGTAAAGGCCCATGCGCGCGGGCCGAAGGATGACTCGCACGAAAGCTTTCTCGATTTTCAAGGGAACCAATTGGCAGATAATGAGGCCCGCCTAGGGGCCGACATGCAGGAGGTCCCCCCGTGGAAGGCCCAGACCTGGACCACCCGCTCGGCGGAGGTCCAGGCAGTGTTGACTCTGGTGGCGGGGGTGACGGGGTTGACTGCGGACTTCGGGGATTCCACGGGGAGGCCTGCCGCGGGCTCCAGCGGGGCCCGCCGAAGGCGGCAAGGACCGCCCGAGGGGGCCCGAGCTCACGTCCTCCTCTGGAGGAGGGGGGCGTGGCGTTGCTCGACGTGTGGCCGCAAAGCTTTCTCCAGCAAGACCAAGCGCGCGTTGGCGCGTAGACCCTGCCTGGGTAAGATGAGGGTGGATCGTCGTTGGGGAGTCGGGCTGGGGCGGGGGGATGGGGAAGGAGACATTTCTCCCGCCCTCCGTGGAGCGGCCCTAGGGCACGAGCTGCACCGAGTGGGCCAGTATACATTCTGCGATCGGTGCGGTGTCTTTTCGAGCGAGAGGGGGTGCAAGCTCCTGGGCGCCTGCGTCGGGGCTCCAGCGAACTCCACCGCAGGGTACCGCCTCTCGCTCCTGCGCCGAGGCAGGAATCCCTATGCAGTAAAGGTCTCCCTCGAAGCGGTACCGCGCTCCCTGGTACAGGAGGAGTGTGACGCTTTCTGGGAGTGCCTCATGGACTGAGGCAGGACGGGGCGGGAGGCACCCCGTGGCGGAGTGCCCGCCCATCCTCTTTCTCTTGTGGCGAGCTGGGGCGGGGACCGCCAGGCATCGTTCTTGCAGCAAAACCTCCTCCTCCTCCTCCTCCTCTTCCTCCTCCTCCTCCTCCTCTTCCTCCTCCTTCTCCTCTTCCTCCTCCTCCTCTTCCTCCTCCTCCTTCTCCTCCTTCTCCCTAACACCCCCCTCTCTCCTGCATCGTCCCTCCTCCCCACTTCTCCCCTGCTGGTGGGCGGGGTCACTCGTCCCATGGAGGAGGGCCGGCGGCGACGACGCCTGCGACGACGGCGGCGGCGGCGGCAACTGGCGGCCTCTCCGCGGGGAGGTTCGAGGAGGGCCTCTCCACGCGGGCGGAGGGGGCGCTCGCCGCAATAGGCGACCAGTTGGAGCCCGCCAGGAGCGGCAACGGGGGAAGGGGGGAAGGGGGGCCGAGAGGGGATGGAGGGACGGCCAGGGGAGGGGGGGCGGGGGAGGGGGAAAGGGACGGGAGGAGGGGGGGGTACGAGGGAGGGGGGAGGGGGGGGGGAAGGAGACGGGGGAGAGCAGGCTGGGCGCGCTCGCGCCACATCTGACATCTTGCCCCATCCCACCCAGCCCTTCCCACGGCGCCGATTGCTTCCCTGTCCGCGGACGCGTGCCATAGCGGACCTGAAATTCCAGAAAAGGACCTACTCGTGTTTCGCGCAATCGGAGGCATGGAACTGCGTACATTGGAGGAGGCGGCGACGGATGAGCAGGAGGAAATGCGAGGAGAAGGAGTAGAAGGAAGGAGGTGGAGGATGGAGGAGGAGGAGGAGGAGGAGGAGGAGGAAGGAGGAAGGAGGAGAATGACGAGGACGAGGACGCACAGCCGCAGCAAGAGCTGGAGCTGAAAGAGCGGGAGGAACCGAAAGACCAGGGGAAGGCGGAGGACGGGAAAGGAGGGGGGGCGACATCGACGCGGAAGGGCCTTTATCCAGAAGAGGGGCCCACGCTGGGAGCGATAGCGCCAATCCGAAAGACGGGAGCCAAGTGCCGATCCTAACATGAGGCCACCGTTGTAGCGGCAGCACCAGTTCGAAGGATCGAAAACCCTCCGTCTGGAGAGGACAAAACACAGGAAAGACCATTCGTGTTGCGTAACTGTCCAAGGAGAGGAGGGGGAGAAGGGGAGGGGGGAGACGGGAGGGGGGAAGGCAAGCCAGGTGCGCTCGTGTCATGTCTGACGTCCCTCCCATCCCTTCCCATGGCGTAGATATTCTCTCTATTCGCACAGTCGGATGTCGAGCAGGGCAATGATCGCGAGAGGGTACGCGATGCATGGTAGAGTACGGCATAGCATGGCGTAGAAGAGCACGGCAAAGCGTAGCATGCCATAGCATGGCGCGGCACTGCGCAGTGAGGCATTGCATCACAAAGCATTGCCACGCAAAACATGGCATCGCACAGCGGCGCAGAACACAACACCGCACAGCATGTCATGGCATGGTGCCAGGTTCCTTGAAGGGTATATGGGTCGTCTTCGAGACGTCTGGGCCGGTCTGGAATCGTGGCTCCATGCCTGGCTCCATGGGCTCCCCGAAAAGCTCCACGCAAGGCGGGGCTGATGGAGGGCACCCGCTGGCTCTGCTTTCAACATCGCCTTCTCAAAGCAGAAGCGGGGCTCCCGCTTGATACTTCCTGAAAACGACGACGCCCCAAAGCGGTAGGTGGTGGGGGCTTCTGCGGCAGTCAACGAATCGGCACCGAATGTGTAATCACATCCGATGGTTTTTTTCGGGAGGGCATTTTCTACATTTTGGGCTCGTTTGAAAGGAAGGCCAGCGCTGCAGCAGGAGCACGATTCGGAACGAGCTGAAGCGCGGAAATGAGGCCAGCGCTGCAGCGGGAGCACGATTCGGAACGAACGGAAGCCCGAAAATGAGGCTAGCGCTTCAACGGGAGCAACATTGTGAGAGAGGAAAGAGAGAGAGAGAGAGAGAGAGAGAGAGAGAGAGAGCGAGAGAGAAAAAAAAAAAAAAAACGAAAACCAAATTCCCGGGAATCCCGTGCATGAAAAATGAGACGCGGAGGGGAGCCGGATATCTTCTGGACGTCATCAATTGAGAGAGGAGAGTAGTATACAGATTGTGTAATTGTGGAGGGGGGGAGGGGGGAGGAAGGGGAGGGGGGAGAGAGGAGGGGACAAGTTCGGTGCGCTTGCGCTACATCTGACCTCTCATCCCTCCCTCCCATCCCTCCCCATTGCGCTGATGGTTTCTCTACCCGCGGACGCGCCTCGTAGCCCGACATGTGCGATCTGTGGGAAGTGTCGGACTTGTGCGATCTGTGGGGCTTGTGGAACCTGTGGGGCGTCTCTGGCCTGCGGGACAAGTGGGAACGTGGAGCTGTGGGGTTTGTGGGACCTGCGGGACTTGTGGGGCCTCGGCGACTTGGGGGATCTACGTGGCCAGTGGGGCATGTGAGACCTGTGACACCTGTGTGACTTGTGGGGCCCGTGGGACCTGTGGGACCTATGGGATGTGTGCGAGCTGTAAAAATAGTGGGATATGCAAGACCTGCGGGACTTGTGGCACCTGCCGGACACGTAGGACCTGGAGGCCTTCTTTGAGACCTGCGACACTTGTGAGACTTGCGGGACCTGCGGGGCTTGCCGAACGTGTGGGACTTGTTAGACCTGGGGGACTTGCAACACCTGGATCCAGAAAAGAGGCCCTTGCTGGGGCGACAACGCCATTCCAACGACGGGAGCAAAGCACCGATCCGAAAATGAGGCCCCCGCTGCAGCGAGAACGTCGTTTTGAAAGCAAGAAACAAACGGATTGCAACAAAACATAGGAAATCTCAGAAAAGAGAGTTTTGTGTTTGAAAGCAGTGCGCGGAGAGGGCCGAGCATCTTCCGGACAGACTCGGGGCTGAAAGAATCTTAGCATTCGTAGTGAATAATTGTGAAGGGGCCGAGGGAAGGAGAGAAGAAGGGGGAAAGGGGAAAGAAAAGACGGAGGGAAGGCGGGGGGAGGGTAACAGGAGGGGGGATCGGGAGACGAGAATAAGGAGGAGGAGGAGGAGAACGAGAATCAGGGAGATTAGCACGTGGTTGATGACGGAAGGCTTAGGGTTGGCCGACCCGACCCAAACCCGAAACCGTAGGTTCTTGGCCTCTTGTCTCTAGTTGCAGCACCCCCCTGCAGGGGAGGCAAAGGATCGGCAGAGAAGCACATGCAAGAATGCTGTGCGCGTGCTCTCACTTCCCCCTGATCCTCGAAGCCCCGAAGGGTGCGGCAACAGGGGTGCCTAATACGCATGCGAGACGTGCAACGCACCACGCCGAACGCCTGTGCAACACGCGCAAAAACGTTTATCAGGTGGGACCGATGGGCAACCACACGGAGCCAGATCCGCCCAGCGGGGGGACCCACAATTGGAGAAAAGGGGGAGGCGAATGAGTGCCTCCACCAATGGACGGCTGCACTGGCCGTCGACGTCTTGGCCAGCTTGAGCTACTGCAAGAGCTCCACTCACGAGCTGGGCCAGGGGGACGGGTGGAAGACTGAGCACTCTCGGACTGTGAGCGGCACGCTTGGGGTGTCGGCCCGACCTCGCACGCTGCAGTTGCAGCCTGGTTTCCGTTGTGAGGCGGACTCAAGCCGCGTTGGCCGTGCAGTCCTCGCGAGCCGCCCTGCTCCCCGCAGGAAGATGGAGCCGCTGGATCCACGAGTCCAGGCCGTCCCGAACAAGAACTGGCACCCCCGAGACGGGCTCACACGATAGGGTTCAGGCGGCAGGGGTAACGTGGGCAAGCCACCCGCGTGCGAACCACCGTCGTACCTGACGAACAATGTTAACCCATTGCTTCTACTCTGCACCCCTGGGCACAGATAGAGGCAAAATGTGCAGCAGCGTCTGACTCAGCGAAGGCTTCCACTGCACCCCAACACGATCTGTTGATCATGGCGATGGTAGAGAACTTGCTAAAGTCCTGATGGCGTCGCGCTTGCTGCTGCTTCGACGTCATCGGCGGCCGCCTTGGCCCTTTCAGTTTTGGGGCCGCCCGCCCCCAGGATCGAGGCCATGCCCACCGCGACGGTCCAGAGGGCGTTGGCCGCCCGCACCAGAGAGCTGGACTCGTCCGTGGCGCCGCTGTCCAGCTCGTCGTTCAGCGCGGGCGCGAGCACCGCCTTGGCCACGACGGCGGGGCCGCGGCGCGTGCCCCAGCACTGGGCGACAGGAGCGGCGCCACCCCCTCTCCCTCCACGACCTCAGCTGCTTCACCAAGACGAGGGAATGATTCTGGCTCAGCTGGTGCTGCGGCTGCCTGGGCTCGTTCGTGCTGCGTCTGGAGGTCGTCGAAGTAGGACGCGAGCTGTGTGACCCTCGTGCAGAGCTCGGGTGGCGCAGTGCTGCTTGCTGGCATCCGTGCCGCGGGCGTCCTTCGTGGCTGCCTGCATGGCGGCCTGGTTGGCCATGTTGACTTGGCTCTCGGGAGGCTGGATCTCCTGCTGGGTGGCCTGCGCGTCCACCACAGCTTGCGGAGCTTCTCGCTGGCGTCCAGGATGATGTCGACGAGCTCCTTGAGCTCCTTCGTCTGCGACTCGCACTCCTGGCGCCGACCTCCCAGTTGGTCTCACAGCGACTGCGCCTGCTGCTCCAACGACCTGGATGGCAGCCTTGGCCTGCCCAAGGCGGTGACGTGCTGGTCGCCGTTGGGCGTCCACTTCTTCCAGAACGTGGCCTGGGCCAGGGCCGCTGGGCCATTCTCTGGAGCATCATCCTCGAAAGCGGCTGCGTGGCGTCGCGGGGCTTGGGAGGCGGCTCGGCCCGCAGAAGGCGTTCCCCCAGCGGCCATGCTTGGGCGGAGCTGGCATGCCCTCAGCACGGTCACCTCCGCCGCCGCCGACGCCTGGTACGGTGGCACGATTGTCACTCTGCATGCGGAGACGAGCAGAGGACGAAGACCGAGCCCAGTCTTTGCAGCCGCGCTTGGAGCACGTGACACCTCGCCTCTGCAAGGGCATCTGTTCAGCACCCACCGCAGTAGTGCACACAAGAGACCGTACAAGGCTTCGGGAAGTGAGCACGCGATTGCAACCCACCTTGGGGCGGACCAGCGGAAGCAAAAGACCGCGCAGGGACGGGTGGGTGTGCACACCACGGACCTTCCTTTGGGCCAGAACGGCTTGAACCAAGAGAATCGGGGGGATATGGACGAGGAGGAGGAAAAGGAGGACGGAGAAAAGGACGGATAAAAAGGAGGTGGTGGTGGTGCATCGGCTGCATGACGGCCAACGTGTGCTCAAACCTCGGCTCTATCTGGAGAAACCTCAAGAGACCCTTGGAAGGAAAACCAGACAGAGAAAAAGCACGTTTGAATTTGAGTTCGATGGAACCGAGCCAGGGAGCGATGTGCTGTAATCTGCG